CCATTCAGAGCTGAAGGTCACGCCTCCCCTGGGAGGGTGGGCACAGCCACAAAGTGGGAAATTAAAGCAGTTTCAGGGAGAAAGGTCGGCAACTTTGAAAACATCAAGGATGCAGTACAACTCATTACTCAGCTTCATGGTCCAGCACGGAAACAGGTGTGAGTAACCCCCCCCCCTGCACCCAACACCAGCTGACAGGGCTAGACCTCAGATTCAAGTTCCAGAGGCAGCCAGGTCCTACCCAGAATTCCATCCAGAATAAAGAGAACAGTGAGCCGTGATTAGGACACATGCCGCACCAACCTGCCCCAACCCACCAGGAAAGGGAGGGCCCTGGATCTGAAGAAGCTACCTAATGGACAGCAGAGGAAAGTCAGCTCTTTGAGAGGCAAATCAGGTATTAACAGCTTTGGCATTAAAAAAACCATAGTATTTAGGGGGACATGGGTGGCTCAGCCAGTTAAGTGTCTGTCTCCGGCTCAGGTCATGATCCCAGGGTCCTGGGACTGAGCCCCACATAGGGCTCCCTGCTCAGCGAGGCACCTGCTTCTCTCTCCGCTTTGTGTGCACACGCATTCCCGCTCTCTCCCTGACAAATAAAATCCTTATAAAGAAAAAAACCCATAATACTTACAATACTTAAACTTCTTTAGAAAGAGTTTACCAACCAAACTATTTTACCAACTGAAACAGCCTGAGCAACGTAAGAGAACATTTGACAGGAAGGATTTCAGTCAGACTTCTGACTTCCCCTGACAGAGCAGCCCGTTGCAGAAATCAAGGAAGGGGAGCTCTGGGAGCTGTCTCCGATGCGCACGAAGCCCAGGGCCTCAGGCCTGTTGACAGACCAGCTAGAAAGCGGCGGGAAGGGTTTCTGAAGGAACGGTGTGAGGGCACAGCACATGTGGGTGAGCAATGGAGTTGGCGGTGGAGGGAGGGAGGCATGGGGACGTGAGGGACACAAGGAGGGGCTGGCACGGGTGCTGGGTGCTATCCGCCACACCCACACCCCGTCTGGTCGCTAACAGCTGTGTTCCTGCATTTGTGAGCCAGCACCCTGGTCCACTTTCCACACACACGTGGCGCTGCTGCCTCGGACGAGAGTCTCTGAGCCAGCCCAGAATCCAGCAGGACACAACCTGTGCGATGACAGACATGAAGAAACTGCAAGACTGGGGCCTCAGGAGCAAGAGGATCCTTACCTCTCCCTCTCCAGCAACAAAATTTCTCCCAAATTATTCTGCAAGGTTAATGTCACCTACCCTATAAACTATACGGTTTTGTTTTCTATAAACCCAGTTGTTCACTCAGCCAGCACCCAAGTGACAAGCACCAGCCAAGGTCAGTGGCTCGCAGCCACCAGGCTAGAGAGCACAGAGTGCATTTCCAACATCACAGAAATTTCTGCTGGACAACACCAGAATCAAGAGTCGCCATTCACACAAGTGAGCACAAGAGACCAGGAAACATCTGCCCTCTTAAAGCTCACAGTTTGGGGAAAACAGCCTTTGATAAATAAACAACATCAACAACTAAATATATAAATGGCTGGCTTACAAAATGTCCCAAAGGAGTCGGGGTGGGGGAAGGCTCTGCTTCAAGACAGGCACATTTCGGGGCGCCTGGGTAGCTCAGTGGGTTAAAGCCTCTGCCTTCAGCTCAGGTCATGATCCCAGGGTCCTGGGATTGAGCCCCACATCGGGCTCTCTGCTCTGCAGGGAGCCTGCTTCCTCCTCTCTCTCTCTGCCTGCCTCTCTGCCTACTTGTGATCTCTGTCTGTCAAATAAATAAATAAAATCTTTAAAAAAAAAAAAAAAAAAGACAGGCACATTTGCACATAAAATGACAAAGGCTGAAAGAGAAGGGCCTCTGTCTCCCTACAGAGCAGGAGAAAATTTGACCCAACACCCAGGGAGCAGGCTCACGGGCTTGAGAGCAGCCTGCAGCTTGGAACCACAGCTCCTCGGACAACTCGCCACGGCATGCCGTCACCAGTCAGGCATCTCCCATCATTTCAGTCTGAGCTCATTCACAACAAACACAGATATGGAAACAGTAAGTCGGTTGGGCTGGGACTTCGTGGGAGCCAGCAATTACTTGTCATGACTGAGGAACGCCTGAGACAGATAACACAAGCATCTGACAGGTTGGTGTCCTGTTCCATGCTGCCCCGAGACCATGGGCCTGAGACAGTCTGGCAGCGTCTCTGAACAACCCTCATGGAGCAGAGGCTCAGAGAGGCTGTGGGTAGAGGCCCGCACCAGCCCCTCCCTCCTTGGTGCCTCCGTGTCTTCCGATGGGTCCCACCACCTCTCCACCTGAGGGCAGGTGAGCAAGAGCTACCGGACTCCAGAGCGGGACTCTAAATGTCAACCAAACGTGAAAAGCAAATGGGCCCAGGTGTTGGTGAAAGGGAGACTAACATAAATTAAGCTCTCTGTTCTTAAAGGCAGTAGACACGTCCTGTAAGTTTTCTAAAAGCTGCAGGTTTACGGCAATAAACTCTCAAATTAAACCCTGTTATTATTTTAGATGAAAGTCTTTAAAATCTATTATACTTTCAACCTCAGATAGGAACCATCCGCTTTTGTGATGACATTTAGTGACTCCAGGCTTCAGCAGGGAGATGCTCAGGGTACAGAAGGCACATGACTGTCCCTACTCCCACCAACCCTGCCGTGACTGTCCAGAGTGACCAGAGACCTCCAACGGGACTGCTGTTCCCTGGGCTCCTTCCTCTCTGGCCATCAGCTGTCATCACAGATGACCTGCAGCTTCTAATCAGCAACAGGCATGAAAACAACACTTTTGCAACATAAAGGAGATACACAAGGTGCTCAAGGGTCTCTCCCGGCAGCAAAGTGGGGAAGGATTTTGTGCACAGATGTAGTTGCCTCACTTTTGGAACATGGCTGTGAGAGCAGAGAGGGGCAGGTAGCTGCCATCAGCAAACAGAGCGGCACCGCTGCACAGAGAAAGGATGGGAAGGTGAGCCAAACACGGACCAAGGAGACCCTGCCTGGTGACCCCATCGGTGGGTATCCTAAAGCCAAGCTGGCCATCGCTGACTGTCTACTGAGCAGACCCGTATTAACTTCCACAGAGGTTCAAAAAGAAATGCTGAACTGCTTTATCCACATGCTTCCAGTTACACCCGTCACCCTCCCACGTCCCCGACAGGATCTCTCATGGGATGCTACCCTTGGGCTGCGCCTGGAGTCCCACAAGCTCCAGTTCAGAGTGCTTGAGACACAAAGCACCATGGACCACACTCGGGAATGATGACCAAACACAGCCAGCAAGTGAAACAACTTCTTTTACTTCCGAGGGTCGTCAGCGAACAGAAACGGGTCCCACAGTGGGGCAGTCCACATAGGGATTCTGACCTTAGGCTCAGTACAAAGCCAAGTCGTGCGCTGTGACTTGGCAGGCACCACACTGCTACCTGCCACACAGTATGAAAGTGGATGGATGCTTCTCTTTTGCCAAATTACAGAGCAGCCTGTGCTACTTGAACGGGCAGAGGAAAGGCTCCACGGAATCCAGGACACTAGTTAAACCTATGCACGTTCAGCCCAAGTGTAATCAAACCCCATCTGGGGTCCTGCCTTCTCCTCCCGAGATACCACAGCGAGCTTCCTAAGCCACTCACATGGCAGCAGCCCCAGAGAGAGGGCGCCAGGAGGCTCGGGAGCGCAGGCCCGTACTCCCTGCTGGGCACCGGACGTGCTTCGCAAGTGTGAGTTAGCTGAGCAGCTCTACGCACTAGCGTTTGGCTTGCTAGGAAACAAGTGGGAAGCATTTGGAAATACTGCGCAGGTACAGACTGAAGGCAGACACGGGCATACCTTGTTTTATCGCACTTTACTGCACGTCACAGACACTGTGTTTTTTATAAACTGAAAGTCTGTGGTAACCCTGCCACCGAGAAAGGGTTGTTTTCCAATCACAGTTGCTTACTCCATGTTTTTGGGTCACATTTTGTAATTCCTACAATACTTAAACTTTTCCATTATTTTATTTGTTTGGTGATCTGTGATCAGTGATTATGACTCACTCAAAGCCTAGAGGATAGCTTTTTTGGGCAAAGATTACTTTTTAATCGAGGTGTGTATATTTTTAAAGACATAATGCCACCACACACTTAGCAGGCTACAGTACAATGTGAACATTTACATGGACTGGAAACCCCAAAAATTCATTTGACTCGCTTCACTGTGTTATTTGCTTTATTGTGGCGCCTGGAGCTGAACCTGCAGTATTTCCAAGGTACGTACGCCACAAGCCGCAGCCTGGAAAGGCATTTTAATACTCTTGGCTACACCTATTCAATAACAACTCATCACTTGGAGTCTTATCTTTTGAATCCCAGCTCAGTCAAATGGAAAATTTCAAAGCAGCATTATCTGCACTCATCTGACAAGTAAGTGACTCAAATCTTCATCAGGATGTACTCACCTCGGGCTTCCCTCCCGCACTACAGTTAAACATGATACCCCATGCACCGATGAAAAGGGATTTAGTATCTTGCAGTCAGGACTTTAAGTAGTTCCCCCCACCACCCCAACCCCCTCCCCGGGGTTGCAGTCCTGTTCTCATTCTGCAAGACTGGCTGCAGCCTTCCTTGCCCAGCACCTTCGATTCATCAGAATACCAGCCTGCCCTGCTCAGGCTGCATCACTCACTGGAAGACCAGGCTGGTTTGGATACAGAAGACTCCATCAAGCAGAAACTACCATTGTATTTCGGTATTTCTAGCTGAGATTCATTAGATGTTGCAGGAACTGCTAGTCTAATTCAAAAATGATTTTACTGGCTTCGAGAAAAGTTTTTACTACTTATTTGGGAAGTTTTAAAAGCTCTACACTTCAAATGCCTCGTGATAAAATAACAATAGGACTACATGCATCCCACATCATTTTTAAGACAATTCAGGCCAAAACAGGGGCTAACCCATCAAGAAAGCTGGCCTAGACCACAAGCCGGGGAACCATAATTACCTGTTTCTCCCCACAGCGCGTCAGTGCCATTGACATCTATTTCGTGCTCCTTCTCCAGCCCCAGCAAACACTGGACCACCTGTCAGAAGTGGCAAGGTGACTTAATGAGTTCTCAGAGCCATATGTGCTTATTATATCCCATGTATCAAAGGAGAGAGGGTGTTGTTTTTGTAACCATGATTATCTCATGCTGCACAAGGAGACAAAATATAATGAAAACTGTTTTCAAGCATAATTCATATGCTATTCACATTTTCACTTTTAGAAGAATAAAAAAAAAAAAACCTCAGTGAATTTCAGCAACATCGTTCAGGATTACTAGGCACTCAGAATTCTAATGAATTCCAACATGACCCAAATATGCCAGCCTAATCAACAAAGGACACGGGAGATGGTACAAAGTGTAGTTTCTGCATAAATCGCCATGAGACAGTGAATCTGTTTTTTCACAAAGACAGAAAACAAAGCAAGATACACCTTTTCAATAAAATAAAAAAATAGTATCATCCAGATGATTTTTCTACTGACAACATTCCTCTTCTTTTCCCTAGTTCTTTTCCTTTCTCCCTTAGCAAACAGAGCTTTGGATCCCAAGTGTGCAGGCAGGAGTGCTGGCTCGTGGGGAAATGGCAGCATGTGAGCCCCAAGCCAGCGTTCACCCTGTGCTACAGTGCCAAGAGGAGATCGTCACAAGGCCCTTTTCCACTCTCCCAAGCCACAGCCTTTGTGGCAGGCTGCATCATGGCCCCAACATGTCCACATCCTCTGCCTGGAAACCTGTGAATGTTACCTTATAGAACAAGAGGGAATCTGCAGATGTGATTAGGAACCTTGACATGAGATGAGTATCTTGAATTATCAGGTGTACATCTCACAGACACCTGACATAATCACTCAAAAGAGGGAAAGGAGGAACCAATGTCAGAGCAAGGAGATGGGATGACAGAAGCATAGGTTAAAGTAACACACTTTGAATACAGAGGAAGGGGCCACTACCTAAGGAATACAAGGCTTCTAGAAGCTCTAAAAAGGCAAGGAAATGTTCTCCTCTAGATCCCCCAGAAGGAACACTGGCTTTCTGACACCTGAATTTCAGCCTTCAGACCTGTAGAACTGTAAGAGAATAGGTGTGTGTTATTTGAAGACACGGGAGTTTGTGGTCACTTGTTTCAACAGCATTAGCAAAGGACTACACCCTTCAAGTCTTCTGGTGAAGGAGCCCTACCCTCTTCCAGGAGACCATTCCGGGCCCCACAGAGGCTGCTTCTGCACAGCCTTCTTCCCAGCCAGCTTTGAAACAAGTTGAGTATGACAGGAGTTAAGATAACGGTCACATCTGTACATGGCATTCATTGTCCTCCTTCTGATGATTTTTCACACTCTGTGTTCCCACACAGATTTAGGGAGCACTTTAAAAATGGAAAACATCTCCATTTGCAGAAGTGTGTATTTAACACGCTCTCAGTGCATCTACATATATGGCTATTTAAAAAACACATTTATCGTTGTATTTTAAAGGAATAACCCATTACACAATAACATTTAACATATTGCTACGAAATATGTATTTTTGAAATGAAATTACTACTTTTTTCCAAAAATAAAATACATAGGTAAATTGGCTGGCATTATTTCATATTTTTGTAAATCTTTTTTACATGTCTTAAGAGAAGACAGCTGTGTTCTTTGGTATTTCTGCATTCGTTGCAATATATCGTGCTGGCTTAAGTACACTGTCTACGTGTACTTTTAATGTTTCAAATGCGACAATTAAGCCAGCTTTCAGTCCATACACATGCGTGCATGTGTGCACATGGGTGTGTGTGCACATGACCGTGTGTCTGCCCTTGTCCTAAATGCCAGAAAGTCAGCCAGCCAGCTGGCTTTGCACCCAAATTTACTATAAATCATTGTGGGTTAGGATCTTACCAAATATTGGTAACTCTAATTGCTTGAAAGTAATAAAGAGTGAGAAAGAGGTGGAAGAGAATAGGTAAAATGTTATTAAGTCCCAGACCCACGGGTCTGGAGATGACAATTAAATCCTCAAAGGGAGAAATACCGAGAAATACAGGCACCTACCAAAAATAAGTGCTCTATGTAACTACTTCACGAAGCTTTCCTTCAGTGCAGGGACTATGAATGACAAACATTCTCACATGCTAGCAGAACTTTCAAGTCCTATTTTTAAAAATGCTTCAAATACTCACCAACAATTTTAGAATTAGCATTCCACGTGATTATTTTTAAAACATCACAAGGACAAAAGAATGAATCAAAGGGAAAAAGTGGAAGACAGCAGGGCTGGTGAGTAAACGTACAACAGAGGAGGAACTGGGACACTAACAAGGAGCAGAGAAAGAGTATCACGAGAGCCCCCTCCTCGCCAACCCTGGTGCAGAGCACGCATGCGCACTGAGACCCTGGACTCTGGGGTCTCTCCCAGGAAGGGTGGGACACCAGCCCAAGGTCTGAACACGCGGTCAAACCAACTGCCATTTCTTAAAATCCTCATTTCCTTTCATTCCTTATGTGCATCACAGGCTAGCAACTAAGATGACCGGAAAAAGCACCTGACCCACACCGGGCTGCGACTTCCAGTTTCCCAGGAGGGACCCCATAGTGCCGACTCACCGAGCTGTGGCCCATGCTGGCGGCCGCCGTTAGCGCCTGCTGCAGGGCTTGGCTCTTCCGCAGCGCGCCCGGCTGGGGAGGGCCCGCCGACCACTCACAGGTCAGCAGATACCGGAGAATGTCGCCGTGGCCCCTCAGTGCGCTGTGCACCAGCGCGCACTGGCCTTTCTTATCCAAGTGGTCCACCTGGGGGGCAGGAGAAGGGAACGGTTTAGTATCACCTCCCCTCGGAGATCACAGTTGCACCCCAAATGAAGTGCACAAACCCCATCCCACAGCAGGTGCTTGTGGGGTTCCCATTCCAAGGCAACTTTCTCTAGAGCACTGAATCTCCATTTGAATGACTTTCTTGTAGTGAATGGACCCCAGGCCACTGGGACCCTTTGTAAATCTAGCAATCACTTTCTGGCTCTCCAGCAAATGACTTAGAGCTCCAAGTTCCCTGGGAGACATGGGTGAGGACACAGACCAAAACCTCAGCCAAAGTCCTGGGCTTCCCAATGCTGGTCACATCAGTGGAACACTCTAAGTGTGCTTTGACAAGCTAGGATTTGGGGAAATAAAGCAGTTTAGTCACTGAACCAGGAGAGCAGCAAAAGGCAGGGATCTGGAAAAACCCAGCTATGAACAGGGAAGAGCAGCAAGGGATCCTGAGGGTTGTGTAACTGGGGAAGAAGGTCATGCACAGTCAGGTGAGCTAGGACGAGTTAGCAGGTAAAGTGGGGGCTCAAAGCCAGGAAGGCCAGCTCACCACAAAGTTAGTGTCTAAGGGCAGCTTACCTCCTAAAGGTCCAAGAGGCCACAGATGATGTGTCATTCCCTATCTAATCCCAGAAATACTGCACTTGAAAGGAGCTCAGGGTCTACCCTCACCCCCTTGCGGATTCTGGGGACACTCTGCACCCCCACCCGAAAGCTCTGCAGGAGCCCCCTGAATGCCACCCAGTCTCCTCCTATAGGGCTGTCAGCTGTGCTGGGAAGGGTCAGCCAGCCTCGGAATAAAGATGCCACAGTTTAGATGCAAAAATGAAGGAACCCACTGCTTCACTGCAGCACTCTCCTTCTTCCAGGAGCTAAAGTTCATTTGTCCCAAATGCTGTATTTTGGAGGGGAAAACAAAAAGGCTCCCACAGTTACTGTAAGCCTAAAAAATGTCTTTTTGTTGAAACTTAAATATCCTAATTCACCATAAAGACAAATCCCAGCGATTTATTTCTATTGCACATGCCCTCTCTCCCAACGAAATGTTTATAGTAAACCTAAATAGAGTTTACTGTGAGCTTGGCACTGTTCTCATTTAATCTCTTCACATTAATGACCCTAGAGTAACTTACTTAATAACATGGTTACATTTACTTAATGCTCACACAGCGGCCCTGTGGTAGATCCTGTTGTCATACTCATTATACAGATGGGAAGCCTGAGGCACACAGGCTCCACAGGGTGTCCAGTATCCTCTCTGGCAGGTGGAAAAATGGGGATTCTGGCTGTCCAGCTCCCATGCCACGTGCTCAAGCATGTGGCTTCTAAGACCCGCAGGACTCATTTGATTGTTTAAAAAAAGAGACATGAGGGATGCCTGGATGGCTCAGTCGGTGAAGCATCTGCCTTCCGCTCAGGTCATGTTCCCAGGGTTCTGGGTTTGAACCTGGTGCATTGGGCTCCCTGCTCAGTGGGGAGCCTGTATCTCTCTCTCCCGCTGTCCCTCCCCCTGGCTCATGTTCACTAGCTGTCTGACAAAAATCTTTAAAGAGAGAGAGAGACATGCAATGAAATGGGATAGGAAGAAGAGAGAGAAAAAAAAAATCAAACATCTAAAACCTTTTCAATCAATCCAGCGCTGTGTTACAATGTGTGACTGAGCTCTAGGTCACCATCTCCAGGCTTTTGGAAGGATGACCCCCCCCCTCCTGCGGCCAGTGGCCAGGGGTGTTCTTGGTATCTGCCTCGTCTTGGGCAGTATGAAGCAGAATTCAGAGCTTATGAGCAAAACAGAGGACCCTCTCTCCCTGCCAAGGCTGCGCCCCGAGCACGACCCTCAGGCTCTGCCTGACACAGGCTGCTCACCCTTTCTGTTTGTGTGGCAATTTCTAGCTGTTGCAATTCGACAAAGCAGAGAGGCTGGCCCAGCTGACGATAATTCTAACAAGGCTCTGAAGACATCGCCCCTGCCCCCACCCACTGGGGAATGCCAGCGGCTTACCCTCGCGCCCTTCTTGGCCAGCAGACACACCAGCTTCATATGGCCGGCAGCTGCGGCATAGCAGAGGGCGGTCATGCCATTCTCCGACATTCCCTCCAGGCAGGCGCCAAATTCCAGGAGCAGAGTGACCACCTCCTCATGGCCGAGGTGGGACTGGACGCACAGGATTGGGGCATTATTTAACACTTCCGTCCTGTAGTTCACGTTGGCCCCTCCCAAAATCAGGAGACGGCTCACCTGTTGATTGATGTCCCCCAACAAGATTATTTTCTCATATAAATGTCAGTCACAACAGCATTTGCGGAGAGGGGCAGCATCTGTACTTTAATCCGGGGCCCTCAAGCTAGAGTGTGCAACAGTATGACCTGGAAACGCACAGACCATGTCCTTTCTTGGTGGTGGAAATCAAAATGGCAGCTGCTATGGAAAACCGTGCGGACCTTCCTCTAGAAGCAATCCCACTTCCGGGACTATATCCAGTGGAAAGGAAATCAGGATCTCAAAGACATATCTGCACCCCCGGGGATCAGCACTGTTCATGGTAGCCAAGAGATGGAAGCTAACTAAAATGTCTGAGGACTCATGAACAGAGAAACAGAAGTGGTGCCTACATACAATGGAGTATTTTCCAGCCTTTAAAGGAAGGCAATCCAGGGGTGCCTGGGTGGCTCAGTTGGTCAAGCAGCTGCCTTCGGCTCAGGTTGTGATCCCAGGGTTCTGGAATCGAGACCTACATCAGGCTCCATGCTCAACAGAGAGCCTGCTTCTCCCTCTCCTTCTGCGTGCTCTTTTTCTCAAAGAAATACATAAAATCTTTAAAAAAGAAAAAGGGAAGGCAATCCTGTCACATGCTGTACCATGGATGAACCTTGAGGACATGAGACTAAGTAAAAAAAAAGGAAAAAAAAGCTGGTCACAGCAAGACAAAGACAAACACTGTATGTCCCCTTACACGGGCTGCCTAGAGAAGTGAAATCCAGAGAGACAGAAGTAGAATGGCAGTTACCAGGAGGTGAGGGGAGGGGAAAACGAGTTGTTTAGTGAGCACAGGGTTTTAGTTCTGTGATGAAAAAGTTCAGGAGATCTATTGTACAATAACTGGAGTACACTTAACACTACCGAATTCTGCACTTAAAAAGAGTTAAGACAGTAAATTTCATGGTTTTTTTAAACTGAAGTAAAAAAACCCCACAAAAACGTTTTATTTAAAAAGTGTACTTAAAATGCACATCTTCAGGTCCCACCCCCAGATCTCTGACTCAGTAGGTCTACAGGAGGGCCTGAGACTGTGCATTTTTAATGAGTTCCCAGACGATATGGATGCTTTGAAAAGCAGACCACACTTTGAAAAATCACTGCTTAATCTAAATAAAAACAGAAAACTCATTTTTCTGACAGGTAAACAATCATCACAGGATTAAATAATTAACAGTGAGCTGGTAAAGCCGAAAGTAATGGCAAATACTCTTTTCTTTACAAAAAAAGCATCCCTAAAAGAAAAAGTACAATACATTAAGATGTTCATGTGCCTCTGGGACTGTCAGCTGCAGAAGACTCCCAGAAAATCACCAGCTTTTTCTACTAATTACTACATCCACCACACACTAAACTTGCTGTGAGATTTTCAGAAAAATACTCAATCTCTCTGTGCTTCAGGGGTCTCCTAAGAAAACAACAGTATGCCATCCCATCCTACCCCACAGGGACTCTGCTAACAATGTTGTACGTCTAGTACGTCCTTGCTGGATTCCTTACAAGGAAGGTATGCGCTTAGAGGCAGAGCTCTCCTAAAGATATCTGTCACCAACCCACACTTCATCTGCTTCTTAGGAAAAACATTTCCTTTGCTGGTGTGATGCTACTGGTATTTTTACCACTTAGCCCCCAATCGGTCTGTGGCTCTCTCCCTAGCCCACAGTTCCTAACCTCACTGCACACGGAAACCCCCTGGGAGCTTCAAAGTTTCCAATGTTTGAGGCCCACACTTGGAGATTCTGACTTGGCCTAGGTTCCAAGAGCTCCCAAGGGATTCTAGTTGGCAGCCGGGGCTGTAAACACATCAGGTGATAAATGCAGCTGCAAAGCAGGGGCCTGCTCGGAGCCAGGCACCCTTCCAGCTGTGAGATTTGAGACACGCTACCAATTGCCTCCAGCCTCCACATCCTCTTTGGAAAAACGGACATAAGAGTTTCACTTCTCTGACTTGTTGTGAAGATTAAAAATGAACATGCCTCACACACATACAGTTCTTGGCACAGACCTAGCATCCTCTAAGTGCTAAATAAATATTAATTGCTATTGTCAGTCACCTTCCACAGACTCTTTAGAAGGGACAAGACCCCAGGTGCCTGGCAACCCAGAGGTCCACCTAACTGCCCCTACCCCGTCACTAGTACAGAGCAGCAGGGAGACCTCCTGCTTACTTGAGGAGAGATGTAGCACCTCCTGTAACAGGCACCGGGAAGGTACATCCAGAAGTTCTCAGGGGCCTACAGCAGAGTCTCAGTTCCCTGAGAGTAGGCAAAACCTAATAAAAAGAACTCACTTAACCATCGTTAAAAAGAAAACCACCAGTCCAAAATGGATGGTGTTACTTGGGCCAGCCCAAGTCACCAAACCGGGGCTTAATACCTAACCTGGATGCAGTTTCAATCTCCTCCAGAAACTAAGTCTTTTTTTTTTTTTTAAAGATTTTATTTATTTATGTGACAGATAGAGATCACAGTAGGCAGAGAGGCAGGCAGAGAGAGACGGAGAAGCAGGCTCCCCGCCGAGCAGAGAGCCTGATGCGGAACTCGATCCCAGGATCCTGGGATCATGACCTAAGCTGAAGGGAGAGGCTTTAACCCACTGAGCCACACAGGTGCCCCAGAAACTAAGTCTTAACCTATCAATCTGGAATTTTCTGATCAGCATTAGTGAGGTCATCTGTCACAGGAGCCTTCTCTACCTGCCATAGGAAGATGGAAGATGAGATATCTGCAAACAAGACCCCCCTCGTCCCCAAGCGTTTGCCTTCGGCTCAGGGCTCAGGTCATGATCCCAGGGTCCCAGGATTGAGTCAGCAGGACGTCTCTACTTCTCAGGGAGCCTGCTTCTCCCTCTCCCTGACGCTCCCCCTACTGTGCAGGCTCTCGCTGTCAAATAAATTTTAAAAAATCTTAAAAAAAAAAAAAAAAAAAAAAAGACCCCCTGCCCTTTCCCCCAAGGGAAAGTGACCTTGCCTGGAACAATCTTTTTTTTACCTTTGCTTATAACTTTCGTCCCCCACTCTCCTTCCTCTGAAAACCCGCCATTTTGCACAACTCCTCCATGCGCCCCTCTGCTCTCGCTAGGTGGGATGCTGACCCATTCATGAATCCCTTAATAGAGCCAATTAGATCTTCATATTTCCTTTGGTTAAATTTTGTTTTTTACTATCACACAAGAGATGCCAGATGTTCTTCCAAAAGTGGTAACATCTTGATGAGGTTTCGGATCAGTGTAAGACAGGTTCTTTGGTCACCTCCTATTTGACAGGTGAGAAAACAGAGGCTCCGAGGGGAAAGGCACAGATCAGCTCTGGGCACAAAGCTCATTACTGTTGTGGTCCAGCGGCCGCTGCGGCAGCTCTAGCTAAGATTACTCCGCATTCAAGGATGGGACTTAATGGTTCATTCTATACACTAATTCCTAAGCCCATGGAAATTTCCTCTTCCTCCCTACCACATAAGCTCTCCCTGCCTAACATTTGGGAATGGAAATATTATCTATAAGTGTCTGGTTTATTGAAATGCAAGAAAATAAAAAAGGGGTTTAAAGAAGACAGGCAAACCAATGAGATCATGAAAAACCAGAAGCGGCACTGGAGTCCCAGTTTTCCAAGTATCCCACAGGTTCAGACCAACAGAATCCCTTTAAATGAGTATTGCCTGCTGTCATGCAGAATACGACCAGACCCTTTGCATCAGGGCAAGTCCGGCCAAAGTCCAAGCCTAATTTCCGTCTCCTCCCCTCCCTCTGCCTTCAGCCAGAAGAATCACAGCCTCAATTCTCCCAGTTCATGGCCCTAGGAAGCCCACGGCTGGCTGCCACTCTGATGGGACCACGTGAGGAAAACAACACGCTGGGTGGGTGCCTAGAAGCCCTGGCAGCCAGGACCCCAGTGGGCTGGCATGACCCCGGCCTGCAAGGGGAGACTACACTGTTAGAAATCACTAGCATGCCAGTAAAATTAAAATTCATCTACCAAGCAATCATTCTGGAGCAAGTCACTTTAATTTACCAAAGTGGCAAACTGCAATTATTGCTCAAAATGACATTCATTCCTGTATGACAACATTTAATACTCTCTAAAAAAAGTTCCTTAATTGCATGCATAATTTTAAATTACTGTAATTTGTTCAAGATTCTGTGAAAACCCTTTTTTCCCCCTGAAACATAAAAGAAACAGAAGGATAATGGAAAGCCTTAAAATTCTATAACCAAGTCATAGAATTCTGGGCATCATGTAGATGTAGGTGACACTGGAGTTCTACAAAACAAAGACAACTCTTAAAATTGTGAGTATGTTGAAAAGGGAAGTCTATGATCTCAGGAGGGTCAAGCTCATTACATTCTCACTCTGTACCTTCTAATTTACTGTCTTAAAAACTCATACTCGACAGGGTATGACACCTCCCATTTACTTTTCTCCACATTAAAAGAGTAACTTCTGTGCCCATAATTCATTCAAGTAATGAAAACAGATATGGCCATTTTTATTATTTCTTCCTCATCATCACAGAATTTTACTAATTATGGAGAAGCCAAAAGAAATGCTTTTAGCTGAAAGAGAAAACCATGTTATCACAGTAACCTCGACTCTCATTTCTGTAAAATCTAAGTAAAACAAAAATTCTTAATAGGACTTCTCCAGTATGTGAACTCTAAACTCAGCCGTGGTCTCTACCTTTCTTCTAGAGTAACTCCATCCAGAAGGGAAGAGCTCCCTGTGAGCAGGAGCTCGATCTCCTTCCCTACAAACATCCACATCCCCATCCACCCGCCTCGTACGGCGTTCCTGTGGGTTCAGCCGGGCACGCAGCAATCACACCTGTCGGGTGAGGGAGCAGGGCAGAGCACAGCGTCCTTGTGAGTGGCTGTCCGTGGTGCTCTGCTATCAGGGGCCCAGCCAAGAGGGGAGGCACGCTGAAATCCAAGGGGCCTTGGGTTCCTCAAGCCTGGAACCCTAACAGGGGGCTGAGGCTGCCCGAACGAGGCAGCACCCCTCTTTGCAAAGCTCCACTGTGCATCCGTCCAGGTGCAGCGGCCCTTCTCTACCCAACGCTGGGGCGCTGCCTGGGCCATCGGGCCCGGGGAGAGCTGCCCCAGACTCAGAACTGCCACATCCTTCCTGACACGTGGGCTCCTCTCCTCGGTCTGCTCATGCTAGCTTCTCTCAAGCACCAGAGGAGGGAGCGGGAGCAGAACTCTATCTACCAAGGAAGCGGTCTGCAAGGCCCATTCTTGCAGATACACAGCTAAGGCGCAGGCACTGAGGGTGGGGTGTGCGGACGGCAGGGGAGGAGAGGTGCAGGAGCCCCCAGGAGTGTCCCCAGAGCACCCTTCCCAGGTGGGTCTGATGAACTGGAGGAAGGAAGAGGGAAGGGAGAAACCTCCAGGGCCTCGATCCTCCTTCCCCACATGACCACTTACTTACACTCGCCCTTCATGCTACTGAGCAGGGAAGAGGCAGGACTGTGTTCATGGAGGTGTTGGAAGGGGAGGACCTGGCTCCTTGAGAAACGGCCTCAGAGGTTCTGTACGCAGCAGGGCATGTCAGCGCCCGGGGTTGAAAGGCCTGGAGTCTCGCTGACATGTCCAGTGGAAGACATTTGTGATCTTTTTGCCTTGCACCCGGCAGGATGGTTGTAAGCGGCTGTAATGTAAACCAGTCATTCCCACACTCTTTCTCGAGTCAGCCCTTCTCTGCTGCCCTAACAGACACTTGGCCCTCATGTGTTTTAGATTCCCAGACTGGGTTAAATGAGGAAGGAAAATCTACTCTAGAAGCACAGCAGAAGACCGTGACACGACAGCCAGTGATCAAGAGTGAGGACACTCCTGGCCCAGCCGTGGGCTGACCCCTGCCTGCTATGCTTCCCAAGATCACAAACACCCACGTACGTGCAACTTCTAGAACAGTGTGTCTCTGTGTACCCATTGCTTTATTGTCGCTCATCAATGCTTAATTTCCTATGAACCGTAAAGAGATGGTCCAGATTCGAAACCCAGGACACTTTAAAAATCCATTTCCCCTGGAAATCTCCCTTTGACCTTTGCTCTCCTTTGTGAACTGCTTCCTCATCACATCCGCTCTGAAACTGTCACCACGAGCTCACACAGCAGCACCCATTCTCCCGCCCAAGCAAAAGCTAAACTCCTAGGGGAGAACCAGTCATAGGGCATTTAAACCTTGTGATTTATATCAGTGAAAAAAGCATCATTAGCAGCTCGGCCAGCAACTCTGGTAACTCCCCAGGGCAGAGGAAGGCAGGACGGCTGAAGGAACAGGGGCGGGGGCTGGGGGCTCTCCATACAGAGAATCGCTCACCTTCACGTTGGGAGTGTAGAGGTTCCTGAGGGAGGCGAGGGCAGCAGAGAGCCCCTCGGTGCTGTAACCGATCCACAGGGCTTGGAGGTGACTCGAAGAGATTCCTGTCTTCTTACTGAGGCCCTGGAAGCAATCAGAGACAAATGGGCGTCCATGTCTCCGTTCCCAGGGGTGTCTGGCTGCAATGTGGGTACACCTGGGAGGCGGCAGCTGGGCACTAAGGCAGGGCATATGCTGTGGCACGAAGAATGGCAGGACCTGGGAGCCTGACTTCCCTCCCTAAAAGCGAGAGCCTAGGAACGCGCCTGTCCTTGCTACATACACTACAGCAGAGGAGAAAGTTTCTTTTTATAGAAGTTCTCCAATCATTTCATAAAGGAAGAATAAAAACTGGGAGTATCACCATTCTGCAACCCTTCATGAAGAGTCCAGGCAGACATCAGTAGTTACTGGTAATAGCCACTAAGAGAAGCAAGCCCAAATGCTATCCCTCCTGATGCCAGAAAGCCCCAACAAACTTAGAAGTTTAAACTCGAAAGTAACTGTGACATTCTGCCCACCCCCAAGAAAGCAACAATCACCTGAGCCTGATTAAGCCTCTAGATATAACTACCAAATGACAGGAAATCCAGAGGAAAAGAGAGGGGAAAAAAAAAAAAAAAAGTTAAACTAGACCCCAAGAAATGGGGACGTAGAAAATCCAGGGAGTACAAAACCCCACAGGTCATGTAGCTCAGGCTCTTCAACATCTATACACCCAAGAAACAACAGGGAATGAATGAAGTGGAATCTTTAGACGAAAATGAAGTTTTCTAAAAGAGACTCAAAGGGGGAAAGACAAATGGGGCTCATGGAAAGCTCTCCGAGGGTTAATAAAGCTGTTGAAAATATCCAAAACCAAAATCCATCAAAATGGTGACGAAACTCTTCCTGGCAGTGATATGTCTCACCTTGAAAATGTGTGCCTTCAGGATGTGGTGGCCAAGCTCCATGGTCTGCTGGCGGTTCAGCTTGCCTTCTTGTCGAGAGAACATGAAGGCCAGGAGAGCATGCCCATTCCTAGAAGAAGAAACACAAGGGCTGGGAACGAAGACCCCATTCCACGAACTGTAGGCTCTCAGGTGTGAACATCTCCACACGACTCTGAGCTGTTCTCCTGGTGCCTCGGGATCGCCATATAAAAGAGATGAAAATTTGCCTCTTTACAAAGACGGCCCATGCTGTTTATTCTTCCCATCATTTTAGGGCTTTCTCTGGATTCCCCTATCTCTGTGGAGTGACCTAGAAAAAGGTCCTAGGACAGAACAGGTCTTAATCTTTGGAACCATCCCACTCTCTGTCCCTCATGAATTACTCCTCACTTCACTTACTTAGGTCCCTCACAAAAATGTACATTCCATGAGATGAAGGGTCTTGCCTAAGGCACACTGACTGTCACATGGCCAAGCAAATGCCTGTCCCTCAGCAACCATTCAAGTATATGTTTCTTGGATGAAGGGATGGGTAGATGGAGCAGAACCATCACTGGACCAGGAATCAGGCCTCCCCTCAGCATAATCACCACTGGGAGGAGACCTGGCCAAAGGAGAAAACCTGACCATGAGAAGGAAAGAAAAATCAAGCCAGGCAATGCAAAAGCTCATCACAGAAACACCTGGAATTCTAGGCAGTTCCTTGTCAGGGGGAGAAAGTTAAGATGCACAAGTGAACTTGCTAGGTCTAGGCATATGGTGGACATTCAACTAACACCACCAACTCATCCCCCACCAACCGTTTCATGAAGGAAGCATCCCACCCAGGATGCTCTCCACATCCACAAGCCGCATTCTGCCCCCTGTGGGCTCCAGGCCTCTGTCTGAGCCCGTCTGTCTGGAAAAGATGCTAAGGGTTGCTTACTCCAACAGCACTGACTTCTGTACAGTGTGAATTATTCTCATTTCTGGATCTCCATGTAGAGGGTCTCATGGAGACCCTGAAACTCAGGTGCTGGGGTTTTTTGGGGGGGGGGCAGGGGAGATGAGCAGGTAATTGTAGAGAAAAGGATAAAGGCTAAGAAAAAAAAAACTGCATTCTCTAACTAGATGATTAAAAGCAGGCATTACTTAAATACTGTTTAGCTATTCACCTGCATGCCTGTTTTACAAATAGGTTACAAACCATGTTGGAGATGAGGAGACCAAGGCAGGAGACCAAGAGATTGCTTTTTATACTATAGGGGAAGGCAAGACTTACAACCACGCTGACACCGAGTGTCCTGTCTGACGTCTTGTAAGGGACTAGAGCTCTTCCACGAGCACACGTCCACCTCCCAGACCTCAAGCGTGGGTTTGCCCTCTCAGGTGAGATCCTCCCATGTTCCCACCCCTCCTGCTCTCTGCCACCTTCCAGTGCTCCCTAGCCATGGGCAGGTCCCAGGCTTCATCCCGGCCCACATTCCCCAGCCACAGGCTAAGCTGTTTTCAGTCTCCCAGTCTGCCAAGCTCAGTGGCCATGCCAACCATGTCCACCACAAAGACACGAGAGGTGAAGTAGCGCAGCTGTCCCTTATAGGGAGATGACCATCACCCTTCAGTGGCGAGATCAATGGCTTCTAGTCACCTCAGCTTAACACACAGCTTCTTGCCCGAGGAGACAACTCACCATGTAATCACTAGACACCCACATTCCTCTATATCCCATTTACCTTTTCGTCCCTCCCTCCTGGTCTCCGGATCACATGCCCCTGAGTCTACCTGCACTCGTAAGTCTGTTCTCCAAAGCTGCTTTATATCAAGCTTTCACTATACGCCAGATACGGAAACTGAATTCTTTCATTAATCTGCACAACCCCGTGAACCACCAAGTATCATAATCCCAGTTTGTTTACATGAGGAAACAGAGGCCGTACAGGTTAAGGGACGTGTCCCAAAGACCAAAAAGCTGAGAAACAACAGGCTGGGAATCTGAACCACCATCTGCCCGTGCGAGGGCCTATGCTCTTCATCAGCGCCTGGTGATTTCTCATTCATACGTAACACCACCTCCTAGCTAGCACTGTGCTGGACACAGGATTCCTTGGGGAACGAGGTGAAGCGCTTCCCTGGAGACGCTCTCAGCGACCGGAGGAGACACGTGGTAAACGTGCTTCAGTAGAAACGTGCCATGAGGGGCCTCAGCAGGGACACAGAGGAGGCAAGCTGCCTGTACCCCTGCCCCCGCCCCTTACATGTCCAATGTCTCCTTCTTCACAGATTAGGTTTCCCCACATTATTTCAACACCGTTTCCAACAACACCTGCACCTCCTGTGTCAAAAACAAAACCCTCCCCCACCCTGCCCCGCACAAACAGTCCTCAGCAAGTATGATCATCAGCAGCTCTGAGAGACACTGTGACACTGTGTGTCCGTGGCCCCCTCCACCCTTCCCCTTCCCATTCCAGGACATCGGCTCTCCCCTCCAGCACCCCTCACAGCCGGATGGAAGGAATCTCTGAGGAGGAAGAACCCTCCTCTCACACTAGGAAGCCAACGGCTCCCTCTTGGTCTTCATCTTCCTTTAGCTCTCAGCAGCTCCTGAACCCCAGCCTCCTTCCTGGAATCCTGCTCCAGGCCCCAGAAGTCAGGAGCTCCCTTTCTGGGTAACGACACTTGCTCCCCAGGCACTTCCACCACTTCTCCCACCAATGATGCCACGTCGTCGACTTCCCCAGGCTTCAGACCCCCCCTTCACTTCCCCACCAGAACCTACCCACTGGTGGCACGGGGTGGCGTCCGGGCTTTTGCTCACCCCACAGGCTCAAGCTGCATGAAGCAAAACCTACTCCTCAGCTCCTGCTTCTCTTAGCCTTCCGAAGCCCAGTGCCACTCCTGGTTTCTGAAGCTTGATACCTTGACATCGTCTACAGCACCTCCTCCTCCGCAACTCTGCTCAGAAGGCCACGCCGTGCCCCGCCATCTCACGTCAGCAGGGCCTGCCTCCACCCTGCTGTGCCCCCAAGCCAGGGTCACTGAGTCCCCACTGCCTCTAACACAGGTCCCCAGGCTCTACATCCTCCACACTCCTGCCCACGCAGGCAACCTGCGTCCTGAACCTGCTCAACCGTGGGTTCTCCGTAGAAGACGGATTCAAGTCCACTTTCCCTAGCACATGCTTCTGTTAACTCCTCCAGTCCCTGACAAAAACTCTAGCCAAACTAGATTTCTTGTTGCCAGAATACACCCTGCTTATTCTGACCTGATGTCTCAGACAGCTCTTCCTGTCTATGGTAGCTCATGCCACCCCCTGACATCCCACCCGGTCATTCCTCAAGTCCGTGACATGTAGAAAAGAGGACAGACAGGAGGCTGTTCAAGACATTAAAACTCCTCATGCAACCCTAATGAATGGACAGATCTGGGAAAGGATCATCAGCGGCCCTAAGGCGTTGTGGGCATGATGATGGAAGCAGACTTACCACCTATTAAGGATCCTTGCAAAAAATACTTTAAGAGAAAATCTGATCAAGTCTCTAGATTTAAACACCAGTTTCAGGAAATAGAGGGGACAAGTGCATTAAATACCATGAGGTTGCAATCAGCAAAATTCAGATTATAGGAAACGATACAGAACAAATTACTCCATCATTTTATTTTATTTTGAGAGAGCATGAGGAGGGGAGTGGAGAAGGAGGCAGAGGGGGAGAGAGAATCTTAAGTAAACTCCATGCCCAGTGCGGAGCCCGACATAGGGCTCAGGGCTCGATCTCATAATCCTAAGGTCATGACCTGAGCCAAAATCAAGAGTCCGATGCTCAACCAAACGCACCACCCAGGTGCCCCTCCATCATTCTCTTAAAGAAATATAAGGACAAAAAAAAAAAAAGAAAAAAAAATGTAAGGACAAAGCAAAAAGAGGAGGAGGAGAGAATCTAGAGATTAAAAGAGACACCATAAAACACAATTTCATAGATCTCATCTGGATCATGATTCAAATATACTAGAAAAATATGAAGGAAGTGGAGAAATTTGAGCACAGCTAAATGTGTGAAAATACCGATGAATTAGTATTAATATTTCAGGTGTGGTGATGGTGCTGTGGTTAAGGATGAAAACGTCTTTCTGGACACCTGGGTGACGCAGTCAGTTAAGCGTCTGCCTTTGGTTCAGGTCATGATCCCAGGGTCCTGGATGGAGTCCCGCCCTCGGGCTCCCCACTCAGTAGGGGGCCTGCTTCTCTCTCCCCTTGCTCCTCTCCCCTGCTCATGGTCTCTGAGTGTCAAATAAGTAAATAAAATCTAAAAAAAAATGTCTTTTGGAGGTCCATAATCCATTACTTAGGAGTAAAATGTCATGGTTTCTACAACCTGTATCAGCAAAAAACAACATAATGAAATGTGAAGGATGCTTAAGCCTAGGTGATGTGATTGTAGACCCCAAGCAACTTACTCTTTATCTTTTTAATTCTGCTCCTGTAATTCTGACCTAAGGGATAATCTAACCTGGGAGGAAAGTTCTATTGCTTTCCTGCAACACACCAAGACATTCGCAATAGGTTTCTTTATTTAAAAGTAACCCAGGAACAACCGCCAAGCCCCACAATAAGGGTACAGTAAAGCACTTTATCATTCGGCTACTAGGAGGTTTACACAGCTCTGAAAAATGATACTTTCCTGACATTTCCAAACCGCTCACTGAGCTGTCCATGATGTGTCAATTTAAAAAAGCAGTTTGGGAATTTTATAGAAAAATTGCTTTGGAGAATGTTTAAAATGAACAGAAAGAGGCAGAAATAAAAAGTAAAATGTCTGGGGCACCTGGGGGGCTCAGTGGGTTAAGACTCTGCCTTGGCTCAGGTCATGATCTCAGGGTCACAGGATCGAGCCCTGCATCCAGCTCTCTGCTCAGCGGGGAGCCTACTTCCCCCTCTCTCTCTGCCTGCCTCTCTGCCTACTTGTGATCTCTCTCTCTCTGTCAAATAAATACATAAAATCTTTAAAAAAGAGTAAAATGTTATTGTCTCTGGGTGTGGAGTTCTTCTTTGCTGCTTCTCCATAGTTGGGGCAAAATCACAACTAATTGAGTGGGAAGAGAAATGCTACCCATCCTTCAAGGTCCAACCCAAATGTCCTCAGGCATGTGAAACATCTTCCAAAAATGGTCTCCCCTAGCTGGAAAATTCTCTTCCCTTTTCCTTACACATGGTCACCTCCCCTCCTGTCATCCCTAGCCCTCCTGTGTGGGAAGTCCCCGAGAGCCAGGCCCTTGTCCCAGAGAATTTGTGTATTTGCCACAGTACCCTGCGGGGATGGGTCTGCAAAAACTTTTGTTGAAAGGCATCCAGTAGCGTACTCCCACCATCTCTATCTGCAAAATGAAGCTCAAGAACTATAGGGGTCTTGGGTAAATGCTGATGTACACAATCCTAAGAAGTAGCAACTCCTTACACTTTGCACTGGGTGTCTCTCCTGCTCTGGTGCAGCCCTAGTCCTACCCTGGGTCAGTCCCCACACCTGCTTATTGGAAAACATCAGCACTTGGGAGCCACCAGTCACGGTGCGGTGGGCTCTGTCCTTGGCTGTGCACCCTCAGTGTCACCTACCCCCTCAAACCAGAGCGATGCTTCACGGTTGACTCCAGTCCAGTGACTTTTGCCTCTAACTCCAGTAACAAAACTACATGCCCTGCTGAAGTCTTTCAAACTTGTTTCTATGTTTCTACAAACTCAACTATAGCCTATCTTCCTAGACAATGATCTGACTTGGCTAACTGTATCAAATATAAAATGGCACACATTTCCACCCAGTTATGATAGCCTGCAGGCTACAAGTTTATTGCCTCAAACCAGACTCAAAAGAACAAATTTTTAGCCCAAGGTTACTTAAGAAAACAAGGCTACCCACAACATGAAACAGCAGCCAGACCCATATTAGGTCAATGTTAAGTCAGTCCTCGTGGGGAGGAAGGTGGTGTGCAGCTCACTAATGCTTTTTTTTTTTAACCTCTTCCTTTTGGACCCCAGCATCTGGTCAAATGCCCCGTCCAGCTCACAGGCGACAGTCCAGCTGCTTGCTGGCTCTGTTACAGAATCGGGGACAATTCTGACTCACGGAGGACAGAAGCTCCCCCAGACAGCAGTGACGCGGGCTGGGGCCCGGCAGAAGCAGCGGGACAAGAACCTACCCTTACTGAAATGAAAGCATCTGCACCCTCAGACACCCTAAACTCCCACCCCGACTAGGACAAGACCACCCGAGGGACAGGTGTACCGCCTCTCGGCCCTGGGCAGTGAGGAGAACTGCACCCCGGACCAGCCCTGCTCGAAGCCTCCGTAGAGCCTTCAACTCCCTGGATGCAGCCGCCCCAGCACCATGTTGTAAACGGGGCATCTGAGGTTGGAACCTGAATCCTGCTAAGCCCAGGTTCCAACCTGTTACACCACACAGAACCACAAATGCAAAATAGGGCAACCTGATGTGATCTCCGTGCTCCAGTGTGGGCTCACAGACACACCTGGTCCCTGGGACTAGAGGCTTCCTGCCCCAGAGGTGGCAGCGCAGGGGGTGGGGGTGGAGTCCAAGACAGTCCACAGACTGCAGGTGAAGAGACTGAGCTGCGAGCAGCCTCTGGAGAAGCCTGCTGTCCCCTAGAGCATGGAGCACACCTTCCCACACGTGATTCCCACAAAGGGTCCTGAGGTCTAGAAGAGAACGGGAGCAAAGAAAGGTCACCAGGTGTTGCCTAGCTTCTGTCTCATCGAAGGTACTGAGGAACCCCCAAATTCTAGCCATTTGAAGAAGGAAGCTTTTGTACAGAAGCAGGATAGTCCGTCGCCCTCCTGAATTATTCATCCTGTGTTGCCTTTCCATTAAAAAAGGTGAACTGTCGGAGGCAGGGAGAGGGGAAAAAAGGTGAAAAAAGGAAAAAGGAAAAAAGGTGTTTCAAATCCCTTCCCCAGTCGCACACCGGACTCCCCACGAAGCACTGACAGGAAGCGGCCTGCCGTACCTGGGCTCACACAGGAAGGCTGTGTTCTCGCCATCTGCTCTCCAAACAAGCCACTCCCTGAAGGACGGGTGGCAGAACATGCGGGTCTTGTCTCGCCTCTTAATGAGGAAGCAGGAGAGCGCCTCCATCCTTTGCTGGAAGTCCTCCCACCCCTGCTCCCCTTGTATGTGGCCTGCATTAATAGCCTGGAAGATCTGCTCATCAGTCATGGGGTGGAGGGATGCCAGGGCCACGTTCAGAATGGGCAGCGCTCTCTCGAAGGCAGACTGGGTCATGAACTTCATGTTGCACTGCAGCAGATAGAGCTCAGACAGAGACACGGGCACCACCTTGTAGCTGGCGCTCTTGATGACCAGGTGTCCCCTCTGGAAGAGGTCCAGGGTGAGTTTGAGGTACAGGTAGGAGCCCAGGCTCCGCAGCACCAGGTGGCTGCTCACTTTGCCGATCAGGGCGGCGTCGGCCTTGCCGTTCAGGGAGATGTTGCTGAGAATGTCCTGGCTGCTGTGGACCCGGTGCTGGACATAGGCGTGCAGGTCACTGTGAATGTCCTTGTTGTCTGGGAAGTCATCTAAGGAAAGCTTGACAAAGGGCAGCGTGCTTACGATTTCCTGCGGGGGAGGGGAAAAGAAAAGAAAAAAAAAACCCATGGCGTCACTCCACAGAGATTTCTTTTTTACGGTAGCTGCATTTCAAACCAAACTCACTAGTCTTCTTTCAAGGAGGATTTTCATGGATTACAGGGACTCATTGTTTTGTAATAAAACATGTAATAGGATAAGTTGAAGATAAAAAGCTTATGTGAAAGAAATCCTGATGCGAGATTGAATCAGTAATGGCTTTCCCGAAGCCCTCCTCCGAAGACTAGGAGCCGAGCGAGATCGGAGGGCCCCAAGCAGACAGCGAGCTGGCCGTACCAGCCAAGGGCCAGGGAGCTCCTGAGGTGACCTGATACCCATAATCCTTACACTGTGCAGAGGTTACACAACAAGCACAGACACAAACCAGCACTGTGTATCTAAGAACACGGCCAAGCACCGAGATAAGAGGCATCCCTCACCATGCATCAGATACTGGGACTACAGAACCGAGCCAGGAAATCCGAAACAGGCCCGCCCCCCGCCAGGCTGTGCCCCAGTCCCAGCCTGCCCTGACAAAGCTGCCTACCTCAGACTTCAGTAGAGCCTACCATCTTTTTTTTTTTTTTAAACTGCTGTCCTTTCAAAGTAAACTTTGAAATGGAAGTGTAACTTACAAACCGTAATGGCATGGTGTCATTAATTTTCACAAAGTCAAACATACCTGTGTAACCAGCAGCTAGAAACAGAACATCGCCAGCTCCCGAAGCCCCACGTCCCCTCCCACCCCAACCCCCCCCCCCAAGATCAGCACTATCCTGCCACCTCACAGCAGAGACGGTTTCGGTTTTTTCTTTAAACTTCCCACTATCATCTCCGAAGAATTAACTCCATGTCCTCACTGAATGTAGTAATTGCAGCGGGCAGGCTGAGTTGAAGCACTCCCATTTTACAAAGATGCTAACGGACCTGTCAGAACTTACACAGCTAGTACAGAAAATATGGGACTCTGTTCCTGTGCTCTATCGATTGCCAAATTCTGCTTCCTGTGTGATAAATGACTGTAAAGGGTATGAATCAAATGGCCAGAAAAACAAACATCAGGCTTGACTGAGGCCTAATGCCACTTCTAATGAGGAAAGAAAGAACCCAAATGCTATTTTTAAACAGACATCATCATAAAAGGCAAAAATCAAAATCTAAGAGTAATGTCTTTACTAAAAAAGGACAGGGGTAGAGGGAAGGAGTCAAAGGTTGTTAAGATGTAATTTAGGGTTCGCATGAGGGAAAGATGGGGAAGAGAATTTAAAAAAAAAAACAACACTCTATCTGGCTGCATGAGGTAGTTCATGCTTAAGTTGTATGAAAAAAAACGGACCTTTTTTAGGCCTTAAAACTCTTTCCTTTCTCTCTTCAAAAAACAAAAACAAAAAAACAAACACAAAGTCCCACTGCTACCTCACAAAAATTAATTAGCAGCAGAGCTGACACTTGCATTTTGGAAGTGGAGGGACAGCGCCATGCTGAGAGGAGACCTTCCTGACACCCTGATTCATGTGCCTCAGATAGTAAAAAGGTTCTGGTTTCACCCATTTGGGGCTCTGTGGACTAAATATTTCAAAGTCCTAATACAGTTTTCAATTCAGCAGCTACATGCTTTATAACAGTTAATGTTGTTAATCACACCATAAAATTTAGGTATGGGGTCTTGGAAAGAGATCTGAGACTTCTTTCTTACCTGAAAATTCGCTCTTACAGTCACAATCAACTTCAGCCAGGCAGGAAATTTAGAAATAATTTTGGTAATAAATGAAGAAAGCGTATCTCCATAGTCAGGCTTATGAAACTCAGCCTCGTTTAAGCCATCTATCAAAATAATGTATTCTTCTTCAGGAATTTTCTGCTCTAAAGGATAAAATAATTTTTTTAATTAAGAAATTATACCTTTCTATAAAATGGCATCACCCAGTGTATTTTAATGCACATTTTAAAGTGTGAAGAAAAAAAGGCTTACATATCACAGAAGAACTGGTTTTACATTGAGATATCACCTTACACCAGTTAGAATGGCCAAAATTAGCAAGACAGGAAACAACATGTGTTGGAGGGGATGTGGAGAAAGGGGAACCCTCTTACACTGTTGGTGGGAATGCAAGTTGGTGCAGCCTCTTTGGAGAACAGTGTGGAGATTCCTCAAGAAATTAAAAATAGAACTTCCCTATGACCCTGCAATTGCACTACTGGGTATTTACCCCAAAGATACAGATGTAATGATTATGTTTTGATTTGCAACTTCCTGTTCTGAAGTAAGGGAACAGAAGGAAGAAGGTCTCTGTGACATTCTACCATAGTTCCCTAGGACAGGAATATTTTAGTAAAGATCACCACTGGAATTGCAGAATGTAGGTACACTGAAAGGAAGCAACCAAGAGGTTTGGCTTCATAACATTTAAAAATTTCTGTCCATATCACTATCCCATTAGCAGAATTAATGGGTAAACACCATCTTGGGAAATGTTTGAAACAAATGGGACAGAACAAAAAGATTAATATTCCTAATATGCAAAGAATTCATGCAAATCAATAAGAAAAACATTAAGACCCAAAATAGATACCCAGGTAAAGGACAAACAAATCTCCAAAGAGGAAATGCAAATGGCAAATCAACATATGATAAACTGTCCAGCCTGGCTGGGTTTAGTTTAACAAAATGCAAATTGAAATAGCAAGGGGACATCATTTCCCCTATCATATTAGCAAAGATTCTACAATGATGGTCCAGAAAAAAGGTGCAGTGGGATAGAATGGTATGTGCTACTCAGGAAAAGCCCAGATTTTCTAGAAAATAATGTGTCCATATGCATTAAGAGCTTTAAAATATGTTCATGGCCTTTGAATCAAGAAGTCAACCCATAAGGAATTTATGTTGAAGAGGTCATCAGAGATGTGGACCCTCATTTACGTATGAAGGTATTCATAATGGATATTTGAGTTATTGAAATGCCTATTTAAAAGAGCCAGAGTGCACCAGGTGTTGAAAACAGCTCAGTAAATAAGGCTGAGTGTTCCATGAACTATATAACCATTAAACGTGAGGTGTGAGACCACTCTTCATGGCATGGAAAACCCTTAAGATATAGATGTCTATTAGAAAAAAATAGGAAAATGTCACTACGTATGGTTTCATCTGTATTTTTTAGATGGGGAGAGAGTGGAAGAAAGTTACCAAATCCTCATCCCAGTTATCTCAGGGTAATAATATTACAGAGCTATTATATTCTTTTTAAATATCTCCCCCAGGTTTTCCAGAAATAAATAATAGCGATCTCTCTGAAGTATCGTACAGCATGCCCTCCATCAGTGGACGACTGACCCATAAATTACACAGTTTGTTCCCTTTTTTTAAAGATTTTATTTATTTATTTGATAGAGAGAGACACAGCGAGAGAAGGGGAAGTGGGAGAGGAAGAAGCAGGCTTCCGGCCAAGCAGGGAGCCCGATATGGGATTTCAAGTTAATGAAAAGCATTGAACGCCTTTGGAATGTGTGTTTGTGTGTCTGTGTGTGTGTGTGTGTGTGTGTGTGTGTGTGTGTGTGTGTGTGT